ACCTTCTTCTGTCAAGAGGTGAATACTTGTATGCAACAATCCCGATTCAGGTTTAGGTGGCTTAAACTAAGACACTTAAACCTGACCTGTGTCCCATGAATGCTTGTTTGTACTTCCAGTGCATTAACTCAAGAAGCTTGAACAGTTTATAACACTATAGGAGCCAAATGTAGTGGAGGTTCAGCCACATTCAGGAGGTCATGATTTAGTAGAAATATAATGATGTTTCTTGGATAAAACAAGAACTCCATTTCAAGGTGTTTGTCACAGTAGGGGTCAGCTATGGCAGTGGTGTCAAAGGTATAAGCCATATGCTCAGTTTGGCTCATGGAGCCCTATCATTTTGCTTGCAGTTCTGCCCATGGGTCTCTGATTGGACTCATACACTGCGGTTGCATGCATCAGTCCCAGGCACACACTACAGTTGTGCTTGGGACTGGTTCCAGACACACACTGCCAGCATGGGCCACTCCAGCATGTGGGACTTATCTGCCTCATCTGGGGCCTGATGACTTTTACCCCTGAGCAGCAGCAAGAGCATGCTTGAAAATCTACAAACACACAGCACACACAAGATATTAAAATAAATTGAGGGAATATCTTAGTCCTAAAATTCACAGCTGAAATTCAGCAGTCTGGACAAAGACTGTCTAACCAAAAGCACTAAATAACCTTGTAGAGAATCAAAGAATATCCTTTTCCTTCTTTATATTCATTGGTTGTATTGACCTGATAGAAGAGTATTTCTTTGAGTAGTTTTGTCCCTTAATGCAGGCTCTTATCTTGTTTTCATTCAGTCAAATATTAACTTACCTGTTGAAATGGTAGATATCTCGTATGTTTCCAAACAGGGCTGATCGCTCTTCTGTCCCAAGGGAGAGCTTGGATTGGTCAGTGATACAATCAAGGTAATCCTGCAAGATAAATGAAAAGGATACCTTAAACACTCCCATCCTTTCTAGATCAGTAAATGGAGCTATCTTTAATAGTGCAAGATGAGTCCCCTTCATATCAGTTTCACATTATTATTACAGTAATCCCCTCAGTAGCTCTACCCTGAACAGTCATTCTATTATGAAAGATAACAATACTTACCTGTTCAGCAAAACCATGAAAAGGGCTCGAGACTGAATGCTAAGCTATGCTGCTTAGACTGGAGAGTGTACGTTTTTCTAGCTACAATACATAGAAATGTATTCAGATTTCACCCACAATGACAGCTTAATTGTCTCATTTTATTGTCTCAGTAAGGTCAATGACATTCTTTCACATTTTTTTAAGTGAGTTACATTAATAAGACACCTGGATTTGAAGAGTACAGAGGATACAATGAGCAGAGGCTTGGAAAATATAACTATCTCAAAAAGCTATAAAAAGCATTTGCTTTTAATCCCAAAAGGGATAAAGCATAATTGCTGCCAGTCCATACAGGATAGAACTTTAATATATGTATCTGTTAGCACATAACTGTACCATGTATACTTCTAAATTGCATATCATTTTGGCACATAATCTATCAAAGATTTATTTTCATATCTAGAATTATGGTACATGAATTTAATAGCATATGAACAAGAGAAAAAACCTGGAGAGTATTGTTCTTGCAGGATCATTGCTATTCCACATCATCTACTGTTCTCGATAAGGGCTCTAATCCCTAATGTGTCAACTTGTATTATAGTGCACCTTTCCTTATTGTTCAGTGTGTATTCGGGCTCTTCAGATAAGGGCAAACAAATCCACAGGGTTTAGGAGAACACAAGTTATAAAACAAGAAACCAAGTACATTGCCACATTTATAAGAGCAACTCTGTAGGAGGAAGAAAAACAATAAAGGAAAAGGGAAAACAGATGAAACAATGTGAAAGAAAAATAAATAAAATCCTTTACCCTGGGGTTAGACAATGTGGTGTGGCAACCTACCAAAAGCAACACAACATTCCACAACACTAGAGGGAAGGAACCCTGCAAAATGTCAGCTAGACCATGAAAATCTGTACAATAAAACTGCGTTCCAGAGTCTTAAAGAAAAAAATTGTGTGCACACACACACACACACACACACACACACACACACAAACTTTACACATATAAAACAGAATTAGGACCAGACAAAGTATTTAATTGGGTATGAATTTGATCTTTGGTATTTAGATGCATTCAGGAGGAAAGTTTTGAATTACAGGGGCTTCCATTCACTTATCCCTGTTCATGCTGGTATAACCAAACCGGCTTCAGGACAACCACAGGTGTGATAAAGAATCAGGTTTAGTCATTGCTGCACTTGATTATTATCCCATTCATTTCTTCATTTAAAACTGAATCCAATACACTTCCCTCTTCTTCGCCCCTCCTCCCCAATCAAACATTTTTCTTGCTACCCACCATCCTCAGAAACCAGCATCTTCTCCCTTATCGGCAGTGCAGGAAAAGCAGCTTCACTGTCTTTAGAAAGACCAACAAGTGGCTGGTGACAAATAAGCCTCTACTCTCTCCAAAAAGCCTAGGTGTTACTTTTACACTGCACATCTGTAAGCCACCTCCCCTTCTAGCAGCCTGTGACCTAGTAGTTCAAGCTTGTTGAAATGTATTTGTGTAATAAGTTATTGAAACAAAGTCCCTAGGGCTTCCTCAACCCTGTAACTGACCTTCTGTTTTTCCTCAGAAGCTAAGTGTAGGCAGTTTGAGAAGTTTGAGGAGGCAGAAAGGATTACTGTAGGTCAAAGAGCCAGAAGCAAATACAAAGTTGATCTGGGACTCTTCCAACTGCAGCTACAAAAATTGTGCTTCTTTTCAACAGACCCTTAAAGAATGAGTGGAATAAATTAACCTTCTCTGGACCAGCAAAAATAACGCCCCCCCAAAAGCAGCCATAAAAATGAATAGGAAAGCTCAAATGGAATACGTACCTCTAAAAAGTTTTATTGCTATTTTTAGTTCTGCAGGATGAATTGTAGCAGAATTATGGCATTACATGACAGAACATGCTTGAGAGAAACACCAAGCTTTAACGAAAAAAAACATACAATGTGTTTTACTGTATAAAGAAAATCTTCCCTTTTTTCATTCATATCACCCTTTCATGGGGGTTCCATTTTTCCAAGAGCAAGAGGCTACTAATTTTTACTTTTGTTTTTAAAGCCGGTGTATAGAAAACTATCAGAGTTTTGTGATATTGTCATCTCAACCAGTTTTATTTCATGTACTCATTCTTGAGTGTCCCCTATCAACTCTTAAGAAGGAATGAAGAATCAGAACTTACTTTTTCCAAAATCAAAGAAAGCTCCACATGAACTGGTGTATTGGAAACTGTCCAAAGATACGTTGATATTGGCTTAAATTGAATAGCCACAACTGTTCTCTTTAGGGAGTTTTTTCCTTGGAACTACCTTTCATCATTCCTTCCCAAACCAGAACTACTTTAGAGAAACATCTGAAACTTATGGACCCTTGACTTTCAGGCACTTCCCAGGCTGGGAGCCCTGATCAGCTGATTGCCACACCATATCCACTGTACATGGGAGTCAAGGGCTCCAATGTGCCCCCGAGGCTGGGAGCCCCAATCAGTTGCTGCTCCCAGTTGCAGACTCATCAGAGCCCGTGACTCCAATGCCCCTCCCCACTCAGTCAAGAGCAGAACTGATCTGTGTTCCCAGGGGTGTGGGGGGACATCAGAGCCCTTGATTCCAATATGCTCCCAAGACTGGGAGCAGGGATCAGTTGACTGGCTCCCCCTGCACCAGCAATATGGCATGATGGGACTCTGATCCCTAATCCCACAATCACGCCTCCCACTATGCACATATAGCTGGGCAGGAAGCACAATTGTTGGGTTTGTGCATCAGATCCCATTGCACCTATAGCTGAACGTCTGCCAGGGGCCATGGTTATAGTTTTGCTTTCCGAGGTTAGAGTGAACAGTACATTGCTTAAAGACGACGACTTGTTTTCAGTGAGGGAGACATCTGCGTAAAACATGTACCTCATTCTCAGGTCTTCAGGGAACTGTGCTGGCTCGTCTTTTGTTGTTGCTGCAGCCACAGGTACAAGTTCAAAGGTGTGACTGTAGTTTGTTTAGACCTATGCAAGCCAGTTTTGAATTAGTTAGCTTGGGTAATGATAATAACGTTACCAAAGAACTATCATTAGCTAGCCACCTGATTATTTATCCAGCTCCATGGGCTGGTTATGCAGTCTGCACTGAGCTCCAGGCAGCTGCAGCTACATGACTATCAGCACCTGAATTAGCTAGCTTGGAGACAGCTATATATATATACACATATATGTACACACACACACGCATATATAACTGCAGTGTTGTAGTGTAGATGTAACTTCTGAAAGGGATGCCAAAAAAGGAGGCAAGGAGGGGAAGAGAAAGGGAGACAGAGAAGTCACTAAAGAGGATGGGTTTTAATGCAAATCATCCAGATTCTTTTAAACCTGAGGAATTAAATCTTCCCTCCCCACATCTCCAACTTAAATCCCAACACAAGATCCCTTTTCACTAGGCAGAGAAAAGCTCAAGAGGACACAGGACAGGACAGGAAAACATTAGGCATGCACATGGCTTATTTGGAGAAAATTTACTAATTTTCTTAACAGGATGTAATAATATACAGCAATGGAGCCCAGGTCAGCGACCCTTTGTGCTAGAGGCTGAGCAAGCATTTAATAGATGTTTGACCCTGCCCCAAAGTACTTGTGATCTAAAAAGAGGGTTGATAATGGTAGCAAGGAAAGGAAGATAGCCAATCAGCAGCAGAAATCACAGCTCACTGCACCTGCTGAGTCCATACTGCAGGTCTCTGCCATCATATGAAAGAGGGGAATTTTGTGTAGTTTTGCCACAGTAGCATTGGTAAAGACTAAGCAAGATGTCATTAGGTAGAACACTTGCACCGGTAGAGACAAAGCTGGCCTTTGGTATCGCCTACCCTTCTCATTTATATAGTCTTATATACAGCATACATGTTATCTTAAAGGCTTTATAAACTCATCCAGGAAACAGATATGATAATAGACAATAAACCTTCAATGGGCTAATGATGAAAGTAGATCAAAGCTGTGCAGCCATATATTTTTTTCTAATTTAATTATCCTCTTTAGAATATGATACTTTAACCCCAAGTCACCCACTGGAAAGTACTGCCACATACAGTGTATCAAAAGCTGTTATCATCTGAACCCATAATGAAAGGACTGAAGCTACCTGATAACAAGTTGGGCTGCAGACATAATGACATGGTGCAGAAACCAACGAAATTTATTAAAACAAAGCATGAGGTGCATTAATTTTATTTGTTTCTTGTCAGCAGTCATGGCCTCCACTGTCAGCATTGAATGATTTGTTTATAACCTTTACCTTTGTTACTATTTTATTGCCTGTCAGCAGTTACTTGTCAGTAAAGCATTCGGTTCACTTTATGAAAGAGAAGGTTCCTTGGCTTGATTTATGGATCAAGGATTGTTTTAATGATGTCACATACTTTCCCTACCTTTTTTTTTTTATCTTCAAACCTTCCAGCAACTACAAGAATCACAGCAAACTCCCCAGAAGGACTGCTATGCCTTCTTTTTGATGAGTCTGACATTTTCTCCATTTATCTTTCATCACACTTAGATTTCACTGGAAGGAAAGCTTTATAACAGACTTCCATCTCCTTCTCCATGATCATGCAGGAAATTAAGTTCAATCTATCCAGTAAATGATGAAATACAGTTTTCTACAATTAGAAAATGGAATAAATTAGCAGTGTCTAAACTTTTTTGTACCAATAGCCACATAAGTGGTGCTAGCTTGGTCCATGGACACGATCTAGTCTGTGGGCCCAATCTGGTGTGCAGTCTTCCAGCTGGGGCCTAATCCAGCCACACGGGCTTGGAATTCTGGTAGCAAGGGAGCAGTGGCGGT